TAACGTCAGTAAGGAGACAGTGTGTATGAATCATACAGCCTGTAGATAGAAGTCCTAACAGGATGTAGAGGATAACGTCAGTAAGGAGACAGTGTGTATGAATCATACAGCCTGTAGATAGAAGTCCTAACAGGATGTAGAGGATAACGTCAGTAAGGAGACAGTGTGTATGAATCATACAGCCTGTAGATAGAAGTCCTAACAGGATGTAGAGGATAACGTCAGTAAGGAGACAGTGTGTATGAACCATACAGCCTGTAGATAGTAGTCCTAACAGGATGTAGAGGATAACGTCAGTAAGGAGAAAGTGTGTATGAATCATACAGCCTGTAGATAGAAGTCCTAACAGGATGTAGAGGATAACGTCAGTAAGGAGACAGTGTGTATGAATCATTCAGCCTGTAGATAGAAGTCCTAACAGGATGTAGAGGATAACGTCAGTAAGGAGACAGTGTGTATGAATCATACAGCCTGTAGATAGAAGTCCTAACAGGATGTAGAGGATAACGTCAGTAAGGAGACAGTGTGTATGAATCATACAGCCTGTAGATAGAAGTCCTAACAGGATGTAGAGGATAACGTCAGTAAGGAGACAGTGTGTATGAATCATACAGCCTGTAGATAGAAGTCCTAACAGGATGTAGAGGATAACGTCAGTAAGGAGACAGTGTGTATGAATCATACAGCCTGTAGATAGAAGTCCTAACAGGATGTAGAGGATAACGTCAGTAAGGAGAGAGTGTGTATGAATCATACAGCCTGTAGATAGAAGTCCTAACAGGATGTAGAGGATAACGTCAGTAAGGAGAGAGTGTGTATGAATCATACAGCCTGTAGATAGAAGTCCTAACAGGATGTAGAGGATAACGTCAGTAAGGAGACAGTGTGTATGAATCATACAGCCTGTAGATAGAAGTCCTAACAGGATGTAGAGGATAACGTCAGTAAGGAGACAGTGTGTATGAATCATACAGCCTGTAGATAGAAGTCCTAACAGGATGTAGAGGATAACGTCAGTAAGGAGAAAGTGTGTATGAATCATACAGCCTGTAGATAGAAGTCCTAACAGGATGTAGAGGATAACGTCAGTAAGGAGACAGTGTGTATGAATCATACAGCCTGTAGATAGAAGTCCTAACAGGATGTAGAGGATAACGTCAGTAAGGAGACAGTGTGTATGAATCATACAGCCTGTAGATAGAAGTCCTAACAGGATGTAGAGGATAACGTCAGTAAGGAGACAGTGTGTATGAATCATACAGCCTGTAGATAGAAGTCCTAACAGGATGTAGAGGATAACGTCAGTAAGGAGACAGTGTGTATGAATCATACAGCCTGTAGATAGAAGTCCTGACAGGATGTAGAGGATAACGTCAGTAAGGAGACAGTGTGTATGAATCATACAGCCTGTAGATAGACGTCCTGACAGGATGTAGAGGATAACGTCAGTAAGGAGACAGTGTGTATGAATCATACAGCCTGTAGATAGAAGTCCTAACAGGATGTAGAGGATAACGTCAGTAAGGAGACAGTGTGTATGAATCATACAGCCTGTAGATAGAAGTCCTAACAGGATGTAGAGGATAACGTCAGTAAGGAGAAAGTGTGTATGAATCATACAGCCTGTAGATAGAAGTCCTAACAGGATGTAGAGGATAACGTCAGTAAGGAGACAGTGTGTATGAATCATACAGCCTGTAGATAGAAGTCCTAACAGGATGTAGAGGATAACGTCAGTAAGGAGACAGTGTGTATGAATCATACAGCCTGTAGATAGAAGTCCTAACAGGATGTAGAGGATAACGTCAGTAAGGAGACAGTGTGTATGAATCATACAGCCTGTAGATAGAAGTCCTAACAGGATGTAGAGGATAACGTCAGTAAGGAGACAGTGTGTATGAATCATACAGCCTGTATCATACAGCCACCCCAGAGCCAGATTTATACATCTCTATCCTCCCTAACCCCAATGCCCCCCCCGTTCCCCTGTGACAGACACTCACGCAGGGTTGTTGCAAGTTCTGCTCCGGGAGCGTACTCCACCCCCACAGGTTCTGGAGCAGGACCCAAACTTAGTCCAGGACCCCCAGCTACCGTCATGGCCCTGCGGTTGGTTAGTGGACCGCCAGATACAGTGACCCTTGAAGCACCACTAAACAGACAGACAGGACACAGGGGAGTCAACAGGGCATACATACATACAGTACCTATAATATCTTTCCATTCATTGGCCCCATTACCATTCAAACCATGGCTAGAATGAGCCCTGACCACGTCACGGGTATATAAGAACTCTTAGAGAGATGCCAGCTAAAGGAACATGGATAGAACACTGTTATGACCACTGTTACTCCATTAATCATGAATAGCCAATGTAATGCTAATTAAATGCTAATGTAATGCTAATTAAATGCTTATTAAGTACATTCAAACTGGCCTGATAATGTTTCTTCTACTATCCATGTTAACTATTGTTTACTTTTACAAGGATTTTTAATTTTTAATTTTTACGGACAGTGGAGTCAACAGTGCATACATGTATACAATATCTTTCCATTCATCGGCTCCATTAGCATTCAAACCATGGCTAGAATGAGCCCTGAACATCTCATGGGTCAGAGTTCTGATGCTCTGATGCTTAGAGCAATCCTGGCTAAAGCAACATCACTAGAATGAGCCCTGAACATCTCATGGGTCAGAGTTCTGATGTTCTGATGCTTAGAGCAATCCTGGCTAAAGCAACATCACTAGAATGAGCCCTGAACATCTCATGGGTCAGAGTTCTGATGTTCTGATGCTTAGAGCAATCCCGGCTAAAGAAACATGGCTAGAACATGAAATGAACACTATTCGTCTATGAAGTATGAATAGCTGATTAAATGCTCTTTTAATGCTATTTAAATGTATGGATAAAGGAGCAGGCATTGAACACTTTAAGTCCAATTCCAAGTATAAATAGTCAATTAAATGCTAATTAAATGCTTATTAAGTACATTCAAACTGGCCTGATAATGTTCCTTCTACTATCCATGTTAACTATTGTCTACTTTTACAAGTCCTTCTGTAAGACTGTTATGTCATTAGACATCCATTACAGTTAGACAGCACAGGAGGCTGTAGAGGGGAGGACGGCTCATAGTAATGGCTGCAATGGAGTGGAATGGAATGGAATGGTATCAAACACACGGAAACCACGTGTTTGATGTGTTCGATACCATTCCAATCATTCCGTTCCAGCCATTACTATGAAATTGTCCTTCCAACTAAGGTGCCCCCTGCATTAGACATCCATTACAGTTCGACATCAGTACATGTGTGACATAGAACAAATATAAGCGCCCACCAAATATTATTATTATTATTATTATTATAATAACATTCAAACGGGCCGATATGTTCTTTCTAATATACATTTTGTAAAACTTCTTCAAGTAATTGAGTAGTTTTTGGAGAACTTTTTGTAAAGATGAAGTATAGTACTTTTATTATTAGGTCCATCTATTGTCATCAGAAATCCATGTTTCCCACCTTTGCCGGTGCACACTCTGTCCCATCCACCGGCGGACCCTTCTTCGTCTTACAAAAGTACTGGTTGTCAGGGTGACTACACCACAGCTGCTTGCAGGGATCGTAGGTCCGGAACTATAGGGGGGAGGAAGGGGAGAGAGAGAGAGTTAAAAAAAGAGGATGTCAGAGAGAAGAGGAGAGAGTAGGGAAGAGGATGTCAGAGAGAAGAGGAGAGATAAGGGAAGAGGATGTCAGAGAGAAGAGGAGAGAGTAGGGAAGAGGATGTCAGAGAGAAGAGAAGAGAGAAGGGAAGAGGACAGAGAGAAGAGGAGAGAAGAGGGAAGAGGATGTCAGAGAGAAGAGGAGAGGAGAGTAAGGGAAGAGGATGTCAGAGAGAAGAGGAGAGAGTAGGGAAGAGGATGTCAGAGAGAAGAGGAGAGAGAGGGAAGAGGATGTCAGAGAAAAGGAGAGAGTAGGGAAGAGTGTCAGAGATCAGAGGAGAGAGTAGGAAGAGATGTCAGTAGAGAAGAGGAAGATAGGAAGAGGATGTCAGAGAGAAGAGAGAGAGAGATAGAAGATGTCAGAGAGAAGAGGAATAGAGAAGAGGATGTATCAGAGAAGAAGAGGAGAGAGAGAGGGATAGAGGATGTCAGAGAGAGAGAGAGGAGAGTAGGAAAGAGAGGATGTCAGAGAGAGAGAGAGAAGAAGGGAAGAGGATGTCAAGAAGAGAGAGGGGAGAGAGTCAGGGAAGAGGAATGTCAGAGAGTAAAGAGAAGAGGAGAGAGGAGAGAGGATGTCAGAGAAGAGAGAGAGAGAGTAGGGAAGAGGATGTCAGAGAGAAGAGGAGAGAGAAGGGAAGAGGATGTCAGAGAGAAGAGGAGAGAGAAGGGAAGAGGATGTCAGAGAGAGAAGAGGAGAGAGAGAGGGAAGAGGATGTCAGAGAGAAGAGGAGAGAGAAGGGAAGAGGATGTCAGAGAGAAGAGGAGAGAGAAGGGAAGAGAATGTCAGAGAGAAGAGGGAGAGAGGAAGGGATGTCAGAGAGAGAGAGAGTAGGGAAGAGGAGAGAGGAGAGTAGGGAAGAGGATGTCAGAGGAGAGGAGAGAGGAGGGAAGAGTAGAAGGGGGAAGAGGATGTCAGAGAGAAGAAGAGAGAAGAGGATGTCAGAGAGAGAGGAGTAGAAGAGAGGGAAAGAGGATGTCAAGAAGAGAGAGGAAGAAGGGATGTCAGAGAGAAGAGGAGGAGAGAAGAGGGAAGAGGATGTCAGAGAGAAGTAGGGAGAGTAGAGAGGAGAGAGAAGGAAGAGGATGTCAGAGAGAGAGGAGGAGAGAGAGGAAAGAGGATGTCAGAGAGAAGAGAGAGAGAGAGAGTAGAGAAAGGAGGAGTGTCAGAGGAGTAGAGAGAGAGAGAGAAGGGAAGGGATGTCAGAGAGAAGAGTAAGGAGGAGTGTCAGAGAGAAGAGGAGAGAGGTAGGGAAGAGGATGTCAGAGAGAAGAGAGAGAGTAGAGAAGAGGATGTCAAGAGAAGAGGAGAGAGAAGGGAAGAGGCTGTCAGAGAGAAGAGGAGAGAGTAGGGAAGAGGATGTCAGAGAGAAGAGGAGAGAGTAGGAAGAGGATGTCAGAGAGAAGAGGAGAGAGAAGGGAAGAGGCTGTCAGAGAGAAGAGGAGATAGAGATGTAAGGGAAGGAAAGAGGATGTCGAGAGAAGAAAGAGGAAGAGTAGGAAGAAGGAGTGTCAGAAGAGAAGGAAGAAGAGAGAGAGAGAGAAGAGGATGTCAGAGAGAGAAGAGAAGAGAGAAGGGAAGAGGATGTCAGAGAGAAGAGGAGAGGAGAGAGAAGAGGATGTCAGAGAGAAGAGGAGAGAGTAGGGAAGAGGATGTCAGAGAGAGGGCTGAGAGGTAGTAAGGGCATTTCTATGGCCAGACTACAGGTCACCTAGTCTCTTCCCAGAGCTCCATCGGTCATGGCCCCTCTGCTGCATGGCTACAATCTCAAACAGGGAAAGCAGGATCCAGCAAAAAGCTGGCCAGTCTATCTAAGCCTATGGACCAGGGGGAGCGCACGGAGAACGCAGGACCCTGCTCCATCTAACAATAACCTTTATTATATTTTAATCGCATCCTGAGAAGATCAAAGTCCTGAGTGGTACTGAGCGCCCCATGCAGTCCGGAAGCAGTGTCCCAAATGGCAACCTATTCCTGACGGGCCCTGGTAAAAAGCAGTGCACCATATATGGAATAGAGTGCCATTTGTGACACACAACGATAAGCCTTTTCTGTCACCAACGGTCACAGTTGTTAATTCTCAGATCTCAGTGGTCAAGCTAGCTGGTGGAGTGGACTTACAGCGGTGCACATCTTGTAGCCCACGCCGAAATCAAAGCGACACTGCTCGTCCATGGAGTAGTTAATCCCGGGCAGCTCAGGAAGCTTGGGCCACTTGTGTTCAAAAGGGTTGTCCAGGAGACAGTCATAAGAGCTGGGGGGGGGGGGGTTAAAACACATCAGAACAGAGACAGTCATAAGAGTTATGGAATATATTAGAGTGGCAAGGTGGTATGATAACATGAGAGCTGGGGGAGATAAAAAATAATAGGTTTTCAGTAGAGGGGATATACTATGTTATATCTAACAGAATAGGTTATGTCAGTGGTGTGTCAGTGGTGTGTCAGTGGTGTGTCAGTGGTGTGTCAGTGTTGTGTCAGTGTTGTATCAGTGGTATGTCAGTGGTGTCAGTGGTGTGTCAGTGGTGTGTCAGTGGTGTGTCAGTGTTGTGTCAGTGGTGTGTCAGTGGTGTGTCAGTGGTGTGTCAGTGGTGTGTCAGTGGTGTGTCAGTGGTGTGTCGGTGGTGTCAGTGGTGTGTCAGTGGTGTGTCAGTGGTGTGTCCAGTGTTGTGTCAGTGGTGTTGTCAGTGGTGTGTCAGTGGTGTTGTTCAGTGGTGTGTCAGTGGTGTGATCATGGTGTGTCAGTGTTGTGTCAGTGGTGTGTGTCAGTGTTTGTGTTCAGTGGTGGTGTCAGTGGTGTGTCAGTGGTGTGTCAGTGGTGTGTCAGTGGTGTGTCAGTGGTGTGTCAGTGGTGTGTCAGTGGTTGTATCAGTGGTGTGTCAGTGTGTGTCATTGGTGGTCAGTGGTGTGTCAGTGGTGTGTCAGTGGTGTGTCAGTGGTGTGTCAGTGGTGTGTCAGTGGTGTGTCAGTGGTGTGTCAGTGGTGTGTCAGTGGTGTGTCAGTGGTGTGTCAGTGTTGTGTCAGTGGTGTGTCAGTGGTGTGTCAGTGGTGTGTCAGTGGTGTGTCAGTGGTGTGTCAGTGGTGTGTCAGTGTGGTATCAGTGGTATGTCAGTGGTGTGTCAGTGGTGTGTCAGTGGTGTGTCAGTGATATGTCAGTGGTGTGTCAGTGGTGTGTCAGTGGTGTGTCAGTGTTGTGTCAGTGTTGTATCAGTGGTATGTCAGTGGTGTGTCAGTGGTGTGTCAGTGGTGTGTCAGTGTTGTGTCAGTGATATGTCAGTGGTATGTCAGTGTTGTGTCAGTGGTATGTCAGTGGTGTGTCAGTGGTGTGTCAGTGGTGTGTCAGTGGTATCTCTAACTTCATCTTTATTTGGATCCCCATTAGCTGACGCCTTGACGACAGCTAATCTTCCTGGGGTGATATGTCAGTGATATGTGTCAGTGAGATATGTCAGTGATATGTCAGTGACCAAGATTCCTGGAAAACCTGGAAATGATGGGAAAGTTATCAGAACCCTAGTCATTGGTTTGGTGAGGTTGGGATGCCCTTACTGGATGTATCGGTTCAGAACCCTAGTCATTGGTTTGGTGAGGTTGGGATGCACTTACTGGATGTATCGGTTCAGAACCCTAGTCATTGGTTTGGTGAGGTTGGGATGCCCTTACTGGATGTATCGGTTCAGAACCCTAGTCATTGGTTTGGTGAGGTTGGGATGCACTTACTGGATGTATCGGTTCAGAACCCTAGTCATTGGTTTGGTGAGGTTGGGATGCCCTTACTGGATGTATCGGTTCAGAACCCTAGTCATTGGTTTGGTGAGGTTGGGATGCACTTACTGGATGTATCGGTTCAGAACCCTAGTCATTGGTTTGGTGAGGTTGGGATGCACTTACTGGATGTATCGGTTCAGTAACCCTAGTCATTGGTTTGGTGAGGTTGGGATGCACTTACTGGATGTATCGGTTCAGAACCCTAGTCATTGGTTTGGTGAGGTTGGGATGCACTTACTGGATGTATCGGTTCAGAACCCTAGTCATTGGTTTGGTGAGGTTGGGATGCCCTTACTGGATGTATCGGTTCAGAACCCTAGTCATTGGTTTGGTGAGGTTGGGATGCACTTACTGGATGTATCGGTTCAGAACCCTAGTCATTGGTTTGGTGAGGTTGGGATGCACTTACTGGATGTATCGGTTCAGAACCCTAGTCATTGGTTTGGTGAGGTTGGGATGCCCTTACTGGATGTATCGGTTCAGAACCCTAGTCATTGGTTTGGTGAGGTTGGGATGCACTTACTGGATGTATCGGTTCAGTTCCTGCTTGCTGCAGCGTGACCAGTGGTAGCGATGGAAGGCCGCTTGGACCAGCGGTGCCATGATACTCCCCATACTGGTCTCGTCAGAACAGCGATTCCCCTGTCCGTCATGTTCCATACCTAACCTGTTGAAATGGTACCTGAGTTATTGATGAGCAAAACACACTATTACGCTCAAACACAAAAGGTGTGTCTCAAATGGGACTCTATTCTCTACATAGTGCACTACTATTGACCAGGTCCCATAGGGATACCCATAGGCCTCAGATCAAAAGTAGTGCACTATGTAGAGAATACGGTGCCATTTTGGACACAGACAAATTCACTGTGCTTAGGAACAATTATGATAGTTCTTATAATTGAAACATACAGTACACATCCGGGGTAAAAGAGCTTCCTAAGATAAATGACAACAGGAATCCTTACCCACAGAGCCCTTACCCACAGAGCCCTTACCCACAGATCCCTTACCCACAGAGCCCTTACCCACAGAGCCCTTACCCACAGATCCCTTACCCACAGAGGCCTTACCCACAGATCCCTTACCCACAGAGGCCTTACCCACAGAGGCCTTACCCACAGAGGCCTTACCCACAGATCCCTTACCCACAGAGGCCTTACCCACAGAGGCCTTACCCACAGAGGCCTTACCCACAGATCCCTTACCCACAGATCCCTTACCCACAGAGCCCTTACCCACAGAGAAAAAAGACTGAAGAAAATAAGGGAAGAAGAAAAGTAGAGCAGCAGATCTTATGGAATGGTCCTGGCTAGACTAAGTAGAGCAGCAGCTCTTATGGAATGGTCCTGGCTAGACTAAGTAGAGCAGCAGCTGTTATGGAATGGTCCTGGCTAGACTAAGTAGAGCAGCAGCTGTTATGGAATGGTCCTGGCTAGACTAAGTAGAGCAGCAGCTGTTATGTAATGGTCCTGGCTAGACTAAGTAGAGCAGCAGCTGTTATGGAATGGTCCTGGCTAGACTAAGTAGAGCAGCAGCTGTTATGGAATGGTCCTGGCTAGACTAAGTAGAGCCGCAGCTGTTATGTAATGGTCCTGGCTAGACTAAGTAGAGCAGCAGCTCTTATGGAATGGTCCTGGCTTGACTAAGTAGAGCAGCAGCTCTTATGGAATGGTCCTGGCTAGACTAAGTAGAGCAGCAGCTGTTATGGAATGGTCCTGGCTTGACTAAGTAGAGCAGCAGCTGTTATGGAATGGTCCTGGCTAGACTATTCAGAATCATTCCAATCCATATGGTTGGAAAATAGGAGACATGGCTTTGAAATGCCAAAGTTAGAGTCCTATACCCTTGGCTTGACTCTGCTCCATAGGGGGCGCTGTTGAGCTGCCCACGGTGGGCAGAAGTAGAACACTTCAGCGTTTATTACTATCTATCTATCTGTCTGTCTGTCTGTCTGTCTGTCTATCTATCTATCTATTCTCCCTACCTATCAGTAACAGTAATAGAAAAGTGTCAAACTAACTGTAAGGTGGATTTACAGTCTAAACTAACAGTAAGGTGGATTTACAGTCTAAACTAACAGTAAGGTGGATTTACAGTCTAAACTAACAGTAAGGTGGATTTACAGTCTAAACTAACAGTAAGGTGGATTTACAGTCTAAACTAATTGTTCAGTCAATGTATAATTCAGTCAATGTATAATTCAGTCCATGTATAATTCAGTCAATGTATAATTCAGTCCATGTATAATTCAGTCCATGTAGAATTCAGTCAATGTATAATTGGAACAGCAGTCACACAGACTTGTTGCAGGTGAATTATTCGATGATAACTTGAAAGAAAATAACTGGAATTACAATTTACTTCCTGAATTGACCTACTTGAAATGGAATTGACCCCCATCTGGAGTGTGTCTATGTCCTGTGTCCCAAATGGCACCCTATTTCCTTTGTAGTGCACTACTTTAAAGAAAAGAGAAACCCACACACGGCTCTTGCTTGTATCCCTTTAGTTTATTCAAGCTATGGGCTCGTCGGTCCCATAAGGCTCTGGTCAAAGTAGTGCACTACAGGGAGTAGGGTGTAATTTGGGACGTAAACCCATGTGTTGCGATGACTTACACATGTCCGGTCTCGTGCGCGACCACAAAGGCCGAGGAGAATCCGTCCTCGTGGTTCAGGGTGCAGCTCCTCAGAGGGTGGCACATGCCCGTCACCGGGGCGTAACCTAGGCAACACAGACCACACACAGCACTGATAACAAACTGCTAAGCAGGCATACCCAGAGACGAAGGGTTGTACACCTGTCATATCACACCTGGGTTCAAACACTACTTGAAATCATCTGAAATACTTTAGCTGTGCTTGATTGAGCTTGCCTGGCACTATGGAACCAATGGAATAGTGCAAACCCCTCCCCCCTGGCACTCTAGGCAGACTAAAGAAGGTGCATAAAGTTTTCACATCTTTAAAAATATTACTTGAACCCAGGTCTGGTACATATGCGTCTCTATGGCTCTGATCAAACCATGGTTATGATGATGTGGTTGGTGGTGTTGGATTAAGGTGAGACTAGGTCGGCCTGCTTTTAGATGTCTGTCTGTGTTTCGGAGAGTCTTGAATAACAATTGATCTAATAAATCATACATAAAATCATACATTTCATGTCTTCGTCAGTGGTCAACTTAATCTACAAAAGGTGGCCAATTAAGAACACATTCCTATTTGCAACGACAACCTGTCATATAAAGTACCCATTGCGTTTGCAGTAGTTTTGTGTACAGGAGAAATAGCACGTATATTCTCCTGACACTGGCAGGTAATTCTCTGAATTCTCAGAATGCATGCACATTTTACAGGTGGTAGTTGTGTCAACAAAGCTACTGCGTAAAAATTGCTGCTAATATAGGATGTTCGATTGACTTCAGCTCCAAGTGTTTTTTTGTTTTTTTTACATAAGAGAAAATTACGAATGATCCCAACAGAGCCAATGCTCTTATATATATATAGTGTGTAATAATGTATGATAGATACTTCCTGCCATTAACAACAAACTGCTAATTGGAAAACAAATCAGAACATCTAATATGAAAATGAACACAGTCTGTAAAGCATGTTGTCTTAATGTGTGTCTCTTCCTAAATGGCACCCTATTCCCTGTATAGTGCACTACTTTTGACCAGGGCCCATAGTGCGCTTCATAAGGAATAGTTGTGCTATTTGGGACAAGACGCACATGAAGAAGAAATGCTTTATAGTCTGTGTTCATTTTCATATTAGATGTTCTGATTTGTGTCCAATTAGCAGTTTGTTGTTAATGGCTGTAAGTATGTGTCTCTGTTGGTAGCTAATACATGTTTGCTGAACAGTTGAGTAAAATGGCCGTTAAAAATATACCGTGTCAATAATCAGGAAATGCCTAAAGGAAGGAAATGATGCTATGAAAAAATTGACACTGTCAAACTTTGAGAAAGGGCTGAAGCTGTTGTCTCCTCTATGTATTAAAATAGAAACCTGAGGCTTTGACAGAAAGCTTGAAAGCATTTTTTAAACCCAGCACAGACAGACCAACACGAGCTTGACAAAACCAAACACAACCATATAATATAACCCAACAATACAGTAATAACATATTTAAACACAAAGCACAAAGGACACATGAATACAACTACTATACTATATATAAGTACTATACTATATAATATATATAACTACTTTACTATATACTATATATACACTACCGTTCATAAGTTTGGGGTCACTTAGAAATGTCCAGGGTTTCAAAAGAAAAGCAAATTTTTTGTCCATTAAAATAACATCAAATTGATCAGAAATACAGTGTAGACATTGTTAATGTTGTAAATGGCTATTGTAGCTGGAAACGGCTGATTTTTTATGGAATATCTACATAGGCATACAGAGGCCCATTATCAGCAACCATCAGTCCTGTGTTCCAATGGCACGTTGTGTTTGCTAATCCAAGTTTATCATTTTAAAAGGCTAATTGATCATTAGAAAACCCTTTTGCAATTATGTTAGCACAGCTGAAAACTGTTGTGCTGATTAAATCACTTTTGAACGGTAGTGTAACTGCTATACTATATACTATATATAAGTACTATACTATCTACTATATATAACTACTATACTATATACTATATATAACTACTTTACAATATATAACTACATGTAACTTCTATACTATATACTATATACAACTACTATACTATATACTATATATAACTTCTATACTATATATAACTACTATACTATATATAACTACTATACTATATACTATATATATAACTACTATACTCGATCAAGAGATGTGCAGCGATTCAGATTAGCTAAGCGTTTTGTTTGGTTCAGAAGCACATTGTTGTTGTTGTTCAAACAGATGATCATGCTCTCTGACCATGTGAAGACCTTTGGCATGCAGGTAAAAAGCAGGAAATGCAGACACAGACAGATACTGATGGATGGGGCTGCTTCAGTTGGCCATGTCCCAAATGGCAATCTCTCTACAGAGGACTACTTTGTGACAAGAGCTCTATTGGCCCTGGTCTAAAGTAGTGCACTACGTAGTGAATAGGGTGCCATTTGGGACGTATCCTCTGTGGTGATTAGCTAGAACCCAGCAGGCAAAAGTGCTTGCAATGACGTCAATATAACCACATTTCAACCTGTTCTGGTTGTAATCTGGTTGTTGTAATGACGCTATTTTATCTAGCTCTGCCTGATGGGAAAGAACTACAATGAACATGGTGGCATCCAATGGTTACGTTATAGTTATATCCAATGGTTACGTTATAGTTATATCCAATGGTTATGTAATAGTTATGTAATAGTTATATCCAATGGTTATGTAATAGTTATATCCAATGGTTATGTAATAGTTATATCCAATGGTTATGTAATAGTTATGTAATAGTTATATCCAATGGTTATGTAATAGTTATATTCAATGGTTATGTAATAGTTATGTGATAGTTATATCCAATGGTTATGTAATAGTTATGTGATAGTTATATCCAATAGTTATGTAATAGTTATGTAATAGTTATATCCAATGGTTATGTAATAGTTATGTAATAGTTATATCCAATGGTTATGTAATAGTTATATCCAATAGTTATGTAATAGTTATCCAATGGTTATGTTATAGTTATGTAATAGGTATGTAATAGTTATGTTATAGTTATCCAATGGTTGTTATAGTTATGTAATAGTTATGTTATAGTTATGTTATAGTTATATCCAATAGTTATGTAATAGTTATGTGATAGTTATATCCAATGGTTATGTAATAGTTATGTGATAGTTATATCCAATAGTTATGTAATAGTTATGTAATAGTTATATCCAATGGTTATGTAATAGTTATGTAATAGTTATATCCAATGGTTATGTAATAGTTATATCCAATAGTTATGTAATAGTTATCCAATGGTTATGTTATAGTTATGTAATAGGTATGTAATAGTTATGTTATAGTTATCCAATGGTTATGTTATAGTTATGTAATAGTTATGTAATAGTTATGTTATAGTTATATCCAATAGTTATGTAATAGTTATCCAATGGTTATGTTATAGTTATGTAATAGTTATGTAATAGTTATGTTATAGTTATGTTATAGTTATATCCAATAGTTATGTAATAGTTATATCCAATAGTTATGTAATAGTTATATCCAATAGTTACTCTGTTTATAGGAAGATGACGTTCCCTATAATATGTCATTGACATAATGGTGTCGTATGAGCACCACTTATGGAATGAATCAGAGTAGGGCTTAATTCTATTTCAATCAATTCAGGAAGGAAACTGAAATTGGAATTGAACCCAAACCTGGTTTGAATGACTTAGTTAGAATGACTTAGTTAGAATGGCTTAGTTAGAATGGCTTAGTTAGAATGGCTTAGTTAGAATGGCTTAGTTAGAATGGCTTAGTTAGAATGATGGACGGTGTTTCTTCTTCCATAAAAGTTGAGTAGCTCATCACCTATTTAAATGCTGCAAGCAAAATGGCACAACATGAAAAGCAATGGAGCTAAGCTAGCTAAGCCCTTTATCTGAAGACAGATAAAAGATCCTCTAGAGAATGTGGGCTATATACAGTCGCATGAAAAGGCCACGGTGAGCTTGGCATGGTAGAATATGAGAAGGAGTTGCAGAAGCTATAGTGCAGCAGCTATAGTTATACACTGAACAGAAATGTAAACGCAACATGCAACAATTCCAAAGGTTTTACTGAGTTACAGTTCATATGAGGAAATCAGTTCCTATGAGGAAATCAGTTCATATGAGGAAATCAGTTCATATGAGGAAATCAGTCAATTGAAATAAATTCATTAGGCCCTAATCTATGGATTTCACATGACTGGGAATACAGATATGCGTCTGTTGGTCACAGATACCTTTTAAAAAAAGGTATGGGCGTTGATCAGAAAACCAGTCAGTATCTGGTGTGACCACCATTTGCCTCATGCAGCGCGACACTTCTCCTTCGCATAGAGTTGATCAGGCTGTTGATTGTGGCCTGTGGAATGTTGTCCCACTCCTCTTCAATGGCTGTGTGAAGTTGCTGGATATCGGCGGGAACTGGAACACGCTGTCGTACACGTCGACCCAGAACATCTCAAACATGCTCAATGGGTGACATGTCTGGTGAGTATGCAGGCCATGGGAGAACTGGGACATTTTCAGCTTCCAGGAATTGTGTACAGATCCTTGCAACATGGGGCTGTGCATTATCATGCTGAAACATGAGGTGATGGCGGCGGATGAATGGCACGACAATGGACCTCAGGATCTCGTCACAGTTTTCTCTGTGCATTCAAATTGCCATCAATAAAATGCAATTGTGTTCGTTGTCCGTAGCTTATGCCTGCCTATACCATAACCCCACCGCCACCATGGGGCACTCTGTTCACAACGTTGACATCAGCAAACCTCTCGCCCACACAACGCCATACACGCTGTCTTCCATCTGCCCTGTAAGGGTTGGTGTGAGGTGTGACCCAGGTGCGGTGCAGGAGAGACAGTAGGCAGTAGGCAAGGATGGTGAAACAAGGATCTTTACTGGTGGTCCAAAAGCCAGGATACAAAACAACAGACTATACATGAAAACAAATGAGGAGCACAAAGGTCTCCAAAAAACAGGCTGACAACAAACAATACGAAATACTAACTCTGACTGGAAAAACACAATGACACAGGGAGAACACCTTCTCGAGTACCTGTAACTCCGTCACGTGATCCGACACTGATACGTACTGCTTGACATCAAGGAACTAGCAGAGAAAACTGAGCAAGGGAACACAAGGAAGTGAGAGCATAAATACAAAAGTGAATCAGATAGCCACAGGTGACACCAATAGGCAGATAATTAGTCCCGACTGTGAGTGAGGAGGTGCCTATGGTTGTCGGAGGATGACACCTAGTGGGTCGCTCCGGAACTGCGACCCACTCCTGTAACACTGCCCAGTACAGTTGAAACCTGGATTCATTCGTGAAGAGCACACTTCTCTAGCGTGCCAGTGGCCATCGAAGGTGAGCATTTGCCCACTGATGTCGGTTACGACGCCGAACTGCAGTCAGGTCAAGACCCTGGTGAGGACGACGAGCACGCAGATGAGCTTCCCTGAGACAGTTTCTGACAGTTTGTGCAGAAATTATTCGGTTTCAGACGATCCCGCAGGTGAAGAAGCCGGATGTGGAGGTCCTGGGCTGCCATGGTAACACGTGGTCTGTGGTTGTGAGGCCGGTTGGACGTACTGGCAAATTCTCTAAAACAACGTTGGAGGCGGCTTATGGTAGAGAAATTAACATTACATTCTCTGGCAACAGCTCTGGTGGACATTGCTGTAGTCAGCATGCCAATTGCACGCTCAAAACTTGATACACCTGTGGCATTGTGTTGTGTGACAAAACGGCACATTTTAGAGTCACCGTTTAATGTCCCCCAGCACAAGGTGCACCTGTGTAATGATCATGCTGTTTAATCAGGCTTCTTGATATGCCACACCTGTCAGGTGGATGGATCCTCTTGGCAAAGGAGAAATGCTCACTAACAGGGATGTAAACAAATTTGTGCACAACATTTGAGAGAAATAAACTTTTTGTGCGTATGGAAAATAAAACATGGGTCCAACACTTTACATATTGCGTTTATATTTTGGTTCAGTATAAATCCCAGCTATATATTCCATGAATGATAAGAGAGGATGACATGAGTCAGTAGTGTAGATAGATAGTATCATAAATGAGCCTATAAATAAAACACTCTTTACATTCAACATACCTGTCAATGGTTACCGCTCCAGCCAGAGGACAATCACATACATTCAATAACAAAACCTTCATCACCCATCATTAATATCATCAGAATTGCATTGAGATGTTAAAGATGTAAGATGTTAAAGTTTAAAATAAAGCGTTCGATAGATTCTGGACCATTTCCACGTTTTTTTTTTTTTTTTTGCTGACTCGTTCTCAATGGGAGTTGCCTCTAAGGTCTCTTGGTCTGTATTTGGGTGTACAATCCTCCAACTCATCATAAAACTCTAACAACAGAGTGTGATATTTACCCCTAAGCCTGGAAGGTTGTTCCCTAGTTTGAAGAGGCCAGTCCCAACCGATCCCACAGTGCCTTAGAGACAGGCCTGTTGTGGCCGTAACATCGCTGGTTGCTATGGTAACATTTGAAGTGTGACAAGCAAAGCAGATAGTTTCTGATTCTCTTTTAAAAACATGACATGTGCTTCAAAAGTTAAACAAAGTCAAAAGTCAATATGTGACAGTGAACTTCAAAAGAAGGTCGTTGTAGATGTTGGGTTTCACCAAAACCTTGAGTTGCAGTGATCAAGTCTCAAGAAATGGTGTTGTGCTTCTGGTCGTATGGTGACACAAAACGACTGTTCAGATCTTGTTCCCAAAATACATACCGTTATGTAATGTGGATGTGTACATTTTATAACAAATACTAAGTAATATATCTTCAACATAACTTTCAAACACTTTACCTTGAACTTGAAGCGTTTCCTCTAGAGGTTACTCAGAGAGAAAATAGTTACTGTGGTAAATGACGTGAGGCGGCAGGTAGCTTAGTGGTTAAGAGCGTTGTGCCAGTAATCGAAAGGTCGCTGGTTCTAATCCCCGAACCGACTAGGTGAAAAATCTGTCGATGGGCCCTTGAGCAAGGCACTTAACCCTAATTGCTCCTGTAAGTCACTCTGGATAAGAGCGTCGACTAAAATGTAAATGTACTGACATTCTTTGTCTTAAAATGATTTCAAGTCTATTGGGTAGTAAAGGCAGCATGTCTATCTTCATTCACTTGTCTTACAAATAGACAGAGTGGGAGTACTTTAGTACACATTGATTCAAACCATGATGATGTAAGTAGAGATGATCTAAGATGAGTTATATTATGTAAAACAACACAGAGAGGACATCTCCTAGTTCTGTTTAATTAGAAGTTACATAGAGACTACCTGGAAACTAAAAAAAACACTAGAAAATGGGAATATCAAAACATTCTGAGCATTTTCATGTTTTTTCCCTACATGCCAGAAAATCTTTTGTAGATCTGATGTAAAAAATTTTTAAACATAGGTTGGCACCAATGCCCAGTCAGTCAGCCAAGTGTTGGAAAATACTCAATGATGTACTCAGTGTTATGTGAGGTCACCACTGGCAGATGTACGCATGCTCAGGACCATGTCTGCGTCCCAAATGGCTCCCTGTTTCCTTTATGCACTACTTTTGACCAGGGCCCATTGGGTTCTGGTCACAAGTAGTGCACTATATAGGGAATAGGGTGCCACTTGGGATGGACAACATTGCTGGACCACAGCAGCAGCTGCCTGCTTTCCCTGTAAGTTCCCAGCAGGGTTGGGGTCCATTCCATCACTATTCAGACAATTCTGGAAGTAAACTGACATTCCAATTCCAATTGAAAAGCAATAAGGGGAAACAAATCTGGTATTGGAATTTCAGTTTACTTCCGGAATGGACTTGGAATTGAAAAGGAACTGACCCCAACTCTGTCAAGTTTCCAGAGACCTTACCTGAGCAAGACTTGAAAGGAGCCAACCCTTGTGAATGGAAGGAGATATCTGTGGTATCAGTCTGCACAGGCCTCGATCGAGAGAAATACAGTACCTTGCATACCTGCGGGACCAAAATCTTGCCTTGTGAGGAAGATGGCATGGTCATGGTACTCAGCGTGATCGGGGTCCCGGCGCTGCTGCGTGTTGGCCCAGCGACACACCTGCTCCAGGCTACGGGACGGGTTGCCGCGCTCGATCAGGCTGATGGACTGGGGGGGTGATAGGATGAAAGAAAATACAGTTCTCCTTTCAGAAACAATCTACGAGTCTGATCCCAGATCTGTTTGTGCTCTTGCCAACTCCATTGCTGTCATTGTTAAGCCAGTGAGTGACAAGGAGTTGTCATGATAGCACAAACAGCTGGCACTCAGGCTAACAGCCTACCATAACTGCTGAATGGGATCGTCTCACAGTGTTTTATCATCATTATTACTCTTACTCGCACTCGTTTAGCAGATAGCGGTTATTTCAAAATGATCATTACCTGCAATGATCGGGATCAGCACGCTTGTTTTAGCTACTTGAGTTGAAAGCACTGATTCTTATTTGCTCTGGATAACAGCATCTGCTCAATGACTAAAACATCATGTCCTTAATAGTTATATATTAATTTGTACCAAGTCGGTTGAGAACATACTCTATGTACCTAGGGTGTACTACGGTCCCTGGTCTAAAGTAGTGCACTACATAGGGAATAGGGTGCCATTTGGGATGCTGTCCTATTGTTTTACAGCAACAGCCTGGAGAATGTTCTAGTGGTTGAGGAGAGGATTACGTGAAGGACTATCAGGGGTCTGCGACAGACGTCCACGGGCCAAAAATCAGCATGCAAGTCATTATTTTGTCCCACAAGTCTGCTCCGACTTCAGAGCAATCTCGTTTGAGAGTGCTAGAGCGTAGAATAATTTCACGAATTTACGAACGCCCTTCACCTCGTAGAATATGACAGGCGTCGTAAACATTGGCCAAAAATAACTGAATTATATTGTTGCCAGCAGCACAGTTACAGTCGCTAACCTTTTAGACAGTGCTTAATTTGTAAATCGGGAGGTTCCGGAAACTTGAGCGCTAGAGGGGGGTGACCTGGGGAGTTCTGAGGTACCCAAACATATAATTGCATTTGCAGTGGAGTAGAGGCACTTACAGAAGTTGTACACATGGGGAACATTTTTAGTAGCCAGGAAAATATGGGCCTTTTATAAACGCATTTCATGCAATTCTACGTCCTTTTACATGACTGGAGACTTTGGCAGAATCCTTTTTGAATACTGCACAAATGATCAAAATGGCAGGCTACTTTGACACTGACAAACTGAGAATCTGAGATCATTAAAAAACAACCTTGTCTTGAATCCATCAGTAGCCTAGGCCTAGCTGTGTGGAGACGCACATATTGTCGGCTACAATATGAGGAGGAAATTATAGTCCTAAAAATACTTTCACTGGCTCACCGAATAATGTGCAGCTCACTCACTGGTGATTGTCGATGCGCTCGTGCCAAAAGCCTATCTCTCACTCTCTTTTGTAAAAAACAATATTTGGAAGTTGATCATATATTTTGGTAGCCTACAGCATTCTCTTTTAAGCAGGAGCCATTTGCTTTCCAACCTGTGTTTTCCCTCGTTGTATTTGAAATATTGAGAAAGGCCTGTTTTGTCTGCGTGCTGTTTTTTTCCCTGACAGATTAGCCGCGCGTTCCCAACTGTAGGCTTTATTCCTTGTTATTGGGCTATAATCCACAGCTAGGATATTTTTTTTAAGAAGCTATTGATGCTCTGTGGCTAAATGATTGACCTTCTCATGGTGTACTAGGCTATTCTGAACGATTTCGTTTATTTCTGAACAGACTTTGGCAAATGTATTTCAATGTATCAGGGTTGCTGCAGTTCCTCCAGAAGCAGCTGTGATTCTATAAGGAAATAAGTGCAACGCTGGAGAGATGAGAGTTGCAGGCTCATGTCTATTGGAGCAGAGAGAGGGAGAGAGAGAGATCATAGAAAGTGAATCTCATTCTAGTTATGCGAGAGATACTGACGTGCTTCTCACACAGCCACGGCCAACACGCGTTGGTCTCAAACATAGGCTACAATGTTGTGCAAACCATAAACCCGGACCGGCCCAACCCCCCAAATCATCTCTTAGAATATTAGTCCCGGCCTGAAAATCTACTTTTTCACATTACATTTTTTTTTGTGGGTGCAGGAGAACTAACGAAGAGGAAACTCCAATTAACTTTTATTTTGAATTTTTACATTGCAAAAAGTGAAAAATATTTTTTCATGCCACGAGAGGTACCAGATCCAGCCAAATAGGTTCCGGAACAAAACGGTCGAAAAACGGAGAGGTGCCGGATCCTGTTCCGGCAGGATCCGGCCCAAATTAAGCACTGCTTTTAGATAACATTCAAACAGTCTAACCAGCTCCGTCCACTAGGGCGAGTCAAATGGTGTGAGTTGTTCTCTCATTAGTTTCTGGTAGTAGCTAGCTAGCAGGCTAGATAACTTTAGCCAGTTATATTTGATTTATATATTTTATTTAAGTGTCATACACCTAACGGTCCACAGCCCACATGGGCTTACATCACACTACTAAACAAAATAAAAATGTCCTTGTACACAAAACAAAATACACTTAGCGTGCTTAGCTTGGGTGCTTGACTGCCATTGTGAGGTCAGAATGCTCGGATCAACCCTACTTCTCGGCCAGAGCATCCAGTGAGCGCTCTGAACGCTCCGAGAACAAAACACTCTGAATTTAGAAATGAACCATCTGACAACGTTCTGAATTTTACTTACTACCCAGAGCGCACTCTGACACACTGGAGGTAATTTAGGAATGACCCTACGGTGGGCCCGGAGTTTGTCCTGAGCACATGACCTGGCCATGAAAAACTCTGGGCCCAAATTGACCCTTCGCTAAGCCCCTGCCCCAGAAGTTTGCGGAAACCAATCACAGCACTCTGTCTCTAACCAAGCTGGTGTCCAACATCCTCGGATTAGCTCTCATTTCAATAACATGGAAGGCAATTTTTTATTTTATTTTATTTTTTATATATATATATTAAAAAATGGCTAAATAATTGAACAGTGCACCAGGAGTACTTTCTACTTGATTCTGAATTGATTCATGGAGCATTTTTCGAATCCGAAATGATACTATATTGTTACATTGTTTGCTAGCTGGTTAGCTATCTCTCCGTGTCATTGTCCACCACTGAAAATGCTGCTAACGCTAGCTACCTCGTTAGTATAACTTGTTTTCTCCAAATGTATGCTAGCGAGCTAGGTGAGCTATGTAATGAACACAACTCATCGGCTGTCAACATCAGAATACAAATTTGAGAGCACTAGTTAGTTACAAAACTTGATCTTACCAGGTTCCCGTGAAGCAATTGTCCTCACAGTCCACCACAACATACCCGAGAGTGTCCTGATTAGCAAGCGGTAGTGTTTAATTTCCTTGTGTAGTAAAAAAACACAGTTTGAGGTCATCGTAAGGGGTTTTCTCCAGTGGTCTGAAAGGGGGAATTGGGCTTCCCAGGAAAATGTTGTCTGAGGTTGCAATAGTAACCCAGGGAGCGTGGCTTAGTGAAGAGTCTTGCTGCTGGTGACTCTCAGATCCACCTCTACGCAGACGACACCATTTTGTATACATCTGGCCCTTCATTGGACACTGTGTTAACAAACCTCCAAACGAGCTTCAATGCCATACAACAATCCTTCAGTAGCCTCCAACTGCTCTTAAACACTAGTAAAACTAAATGCATGCTTTTCAATCGAACGCTGCTGGCACCCGCCCACCCGACTAGAATCACCACTCTCGACGGGTCTGACCTAGAGTATGTGGACAACTACAAATACCTAGGTGTCTGGTTAGACTGTAAACTCAACTTCCAGACTCACATAAAGAATCTCCAATCCAAAGTTAAATCTAGAATCGGCTTCCTATTTCGCAACAAAGCCTCCTTCACTCATGCTGCCAAACATGCCCTCGTAAAACTGACTATCCTACCGATCCTTGACTTCGGCGATGTCATTTACAAAATAGCCTCCAACACTCTACTCAGCAAATTGGATGTAGTCTATCACAGTGCCATCCGTTTTGTCTCCAAAGCCCCATACACTACCCACCACTGTGACCTGTACGCTCTTGTTGGCTGGTCCTCACTACATGTTCGTCGTCAAACCCACTGGCTCCAGGCCATCTATAAATCACTGCTAGGCAAATCCCCGCCTTATCTTAGCTCATTGGTCACCATAGCAGCACCCACCCGTAGTCTGCGCTCCAGCAGGTATATCTCACTGGTCATTCCCAAAGCCAACACCTCCTTTGGCCGCCATTCCTTCCAGTTCTCTGCTGCCAATGACTGGAACGAATTGCAAAAATCTCTGAAGCTGGAGACTCTTATCTCCCTCAATAACTTTAAGCATCAGTTGTCAGAGCACCTTACCGATCACTGCACCTGTACACAGCCCATCTGAAATTAGCCCACCCAACTACCTCATCCCTATATTGTTATTTATTTTGCTCTTTTGCACCCCAGTATCTCTATTTGCACATAATCTCTTGCACATCTAGCATTCCAGTGTTAATACTATTGTAATCATTTTACACTATGGCCTATTTATTGCCTTACCTCCATAACTTGCTACATTTGAACACACTGTATATATATTTTCTGTTGTATTTTTGACATTATGTTTTGTTTTACCCCATATGTAACTCTGTGTTGTTTTTATTGCACTACTTTGCTTTATCTTGGCCAGGTCGCAGTTGTAAATGAGAACCTGTTCTCAACTGGCTTACCTGGTTAAATAAAGGTGAAATAAAAATAAATAAAATAAAAAGGGTCAATTCTACTCAATACATTTGGCCTGGAGTTTTTATGTCATATGGTCAAGAAAAACATATGGTCAGGATACATTCAGGGTCCTATACTAGTCAACATATAGTCAGGATACATTCAGGGTCCTATACTAGTCAACATATAGTCAGGATACATTCAGGGTCCTATACTAGTCAACAGGTCAGGATACATTCAGGGTCCTATACTAGTCAACAGGTCAGGATACATTCAGGGTCCTATACTAGTCAACAGGTCAGGATACATTCAGGGTCCTATACTAGTCAACAGGTCAGGATACATTCAGGGTCCTATACTAGTCAACATATGGTCAGGATACATTCAGGGTCCTATACTAGTCAACAGGTCAGGATACATTCAGGGTCCTATACTAGTCATCAGGTCAGGATACATTCAGGGTCCTATACTAGTCAACAGGTCAGGATACATTCAGGGTCCTATACTAGTCAACAGGTCAGGATACATTCAGGGTCCTATACTAGTCATCCAGAGGGCAGACTGTGAGTAAGCCCCTGAAACACCCACTGGAGAGGAGCTCGACTCGACCATGTGTGTTTCTATTCACATGAGGTGTCACTATTCATTCTTGGACTGCAGTGAAGGAGGTGAGAGTCAAGTGGAAATAGTTGTGCTAGGAATCAAACACAACTATGATTCTGCTAGGAATCAAACACAACTGTGATTATGCTAGGAATCAAACACAACTATGATTCTGCTAGGAATCAAACACAACTGTGATTCTGCTAGGAATCAAACACAACTATGATTCTGCTAGGAATCAAACACAACTGTGATTATGCTAGGAATCAAACACAACTATGATTATGCTAGGAATCAAACACAACTATGATTCTGCTAGGAATCAAACACAACTATGATTCTGCTAGGAATCAAACACAACTAGGAATCTACTAGGAGTCAAACACATTTATAATTCTGCTAGGAATCAAACACAACTATGTACATTAACAGAAGATGACAGAGGTGTTCTATGCTTACTGCTGGTAGCCATACATACTGATATTTACCTAGACTACCCTGAAACCTGGTCCCGTTCTACCGCACCAGTACAAGCCTTCAATCCCTTAACACAAAAGGTGTTGAAAAGGCGAGAAAAAGAGTCCTTCAAAGCTATACTACCTCCAACAAAATGACTGCTGTGCCTTTGGTTGAGTAGCTTCTGAGCTGGGAGTGGGACAGAGGGTGCGTCCCAAGTGACACTCTATTCCCTATATAGTGCCCTATGGGCCCTGGTCAAAAGAAGTGCACTATATAGGGATTAGGGGAACATTTGGGACGCAGCCAGAGAGACACGTTGAGCGTGTTGGAGCTCATCTAATCAGGGTTGTATAAACACACTCTCTATCTGTCTCAGCCAACCAGAACAGAGAACCAGCCAGACACAGCCAACCAGAACAGAGAACCAGCCAGACACAGCCAACCAGAACAGAGGACCAGCCAGACACAGCCAACCAGAGACAGAGAACCAGCCAGACACAGCCAACCAGAACAGAGGACCAGCCAGACACAGCCAACCAGAACAGAGGACCAGCCAGACACAGCCAACCAGAGACAGAGATGTGCTGGCTCAGGGATAAGCAGTCAGTTCAGTGCAGACAGATTGAGAGCAAAGGGTGCTACCTCGCTCTCCAACCAAGATGCAGGATTTGAGGATCCAAGTGAAGAGGAGATTCAGCAGCTCTTGGAGGCCAGTGGAAGTTGATGATCATGTTTCTTTATGGTTCAAAGTAAAACCAACATGTTTTGGTGCTTCTTCAACAATAAAAAAGCATCCTTATCAATGTCCACTGTCCTCCAAGAGCTACTAAATCATATTTCCTCTTTACTTCAGTGCAGATAGATTAAAGAAGAACAGCAATATGATGGAGAGAGGGACAGAGAGAGGGAGAGGAAGAGGGAGAGAGAGAGGAAGAGGGAGAGAGACAGAGAGGGAGAGAGAGGTTATTTCAGAGGGGATGGAAACGCCCCCCCCCCCCCCCCCCCCCCCCCCCCCCTCTCTCTCCCTCTCCCTGTCCCTCTCTCCATCATATTGCTGTTCTTCTTTAATCTATCTGCACTGAAGTAAAGAGGAAATATGATTTAGTAGCTCTTGGAGGACAGTGGACATTGATAAGGATGCTTTTTTATTGTTGAAGAAGCACCAAAACATGTTGGTTTTACTTTTTTTTTTTACTTTTTACTAAATATGATTATCCACCCTTAATGCCCCACATTCTCATTGGGTCAGAGTGCTGTCTATCTGAGCTCAGATTGGAGAGAGAAAACGGTGTGTTTCTTCTGGCAGTTTAGCTGTATTACAGTGCTGGCTTTAGGACAATGCGGCCGGCTGGTGAGAAGGCTGTTTAATTGGCTGGCTGGCTTTAGGACTATGGAAAGCGCAGCTGCAGTGATCGAACAGCGCGACTTCCCTCTCAATTGAGTTGACGAAAGCTGTGCGGAGGTGGTCCTCTGTAGCTCAGCTGGTAGAGCACAGCGCTTGTAACGCCAGGAGGGTAGTGGGTTCGATCCCCGGGACCACCCATACACAAAAATGTATGCACGCATGACTGTAAGTCGCTTTGGATTAAAGTGTCTGCTAAATGGCATATTATTATTATAAGATGGCTAGATAATTGCTGTTTGACTTGACAGCTAGCTAATAGTTCATGTCTATAGGCGATGGCATGTGTTTGTTCTAGAATGTTGTTTAAGTCCCTGTGTAGAAAGGCAGTAAATCAGCTTCAACTTTCCAAAAATTCCCTGGAGGGGGGAACAAATCTTTAGATGGGAGGTACCACTGAACATCAAACTTGAATATGGATCAAGATGGATCACTTCAAATTGATTTATTTGAATAGATTAGGGCAAATACAAATTAACAGTTGAAACAGTTATTCAATACAATGCATCCTAGTTTAAGCCAATTTCAACACTATTTGTGATACAATTAGTTGATTTCCCATGGCCACCCATTACTGGTTCTTGGTCCCCCCATCCAAAAAATCCTAGAATCGCCCCTGGAGAGAGAGAGAGCGAGAGAGACAGAGAGACAGAGAGAAGGAGACAGAGACAGTGCGAGCGACGGGTGTAATGTAATGTCTTACCTGTCTGTGATCAGGAAGAGGAAAAGTCTTACCTGTCTGTACCCGACCATGATCATGCGGACGAGGACGATGTTGATGTTGGTTCCCAAGGACTCATCGTGGTAGATCTCATCAACCTAAAGGAAGCAGCCAGAGAGACAAACAACATCAATGTATTTATTTAGTGAATTCCTTTAGCCAAGCCATTGCTTCCGGTCCTGCTGAGTTGAGGGAGGGTCTGTAGGCCTCCGCTGAGTTGGTAGATTGGACAGACCTTAGGAATGTGGTGCTTGGTTTGCTCCACCCCACAGGCACTAAGGGGGCTTGCTTTAATGCCCCATCGGTGGAGGTTGGCGAGGCATGGGCCGGAGGCACTCAAGCTCTGTGAAGGAGTCTATAGCCAGGTCCCAGATCTGTTTGTGCCGTCTTGCCAACTCTTATGTCACTAAAGCTCTGTGAAGGAGTCTATAGAGCACGTCACATCTGGCAAACACACAGCTGTTAGTTTGTTTAGCTTTCGAAGGATAAGGCAGCCAGCCAGCCAGCCAGGGCCGGCCTTTCAGAAGGATAAGGCAGCCAGCCAGCCAGGGCCGGCCTTTCAGAAGGATAAGGCAACCAGCCAGCCAGTCAGCCAGCCAGCCAGGGCTGACCTTTCAGAAGGATAAGGCAACCAGCCAGCCAGCCTTTCAGAAGGATGAGGCAACGAGCCAGCCAGCCAGGGCCGGCCTTTCAGGAGGATAAGGCAACCAACCAGCCAGCCTTTCAGAAGGATAAGGCAACCAGCCAGCCAGCCAGCCAGGGCCGGCCTTTCAGAAGGATAAGGCAACCAGCCAGCCAACCAGGGCTGTCTCTCTCACAAAATATCTCTATTCTATCTACAACTGGTATCTATGCTGCTACAGTAAAAAGCCCCTATTTCAAATACTCTCTCTTAACATTAACAATAAACATTAACTTGCATCCATAGCTCTGTCTATGAACTTGAGTGGTTGCATTTCTCCAGTGCCATCCCTTAGCTGTTCACCCTCAAAAAGGTGGTGGGTGTTCACTTTGTTGTTGTTTAAATCCCAGATTGCCCCTTTAACACTAATATCATGCTAATAACCTGTAATAATCTGACATAGAACCTGACAAGACAAGCACCCCTACTGAACAATAATCTATAATAATCTGACATAGAACCTGACAAGACAAGCACCCCTACTGAACAATAATCTATAATAATCTGACATAGAACCTGACAAGACAAGCACCCCTACTGAACAATAATCTATAATAATCTGACATAGAACCTGACAAGACAAGCACCCCTACAGAACAATAACCTATAATAATCTGACATAGAACCTGACAAGACAAGCACCCCTACTGAACAATAATCTATAATAATCTGACATAGAACCTGACAAGACAAGCACCCCTACAGAACAATAACCTATAATAATCTGACATAGAACCTGACAAGACAAGCACCCCTACTGAACAATAACCTATAATAATCTGACATAGAACCTGACAAGATAAGCACCCCTACTGAACAATAATCTATAATAATCTGACATAGAACCTGACAAGACAAGCACCCCTACTGAACAATAACCTATAATAATCTGACATAGAACCTGACAAGACAAGCACCCCTACTGAACAATAACCTATAATAATCTGACATAGAACCTGACAAGATAAGCACCCCTACTGAACAATAATCTATAATAATCTGACATAGAACCTGACAAGACAAGCACCCCTACTGAACAATAACCTATAATAATCTGACATAGAACCTGACAAGACAAGCACCCCTACTGAACAATAACCTATAATAATCTGACATAGAACCTGACAAGACAAGCACCCCTACTGAACAATAACCTATAATAATCTGACATAGAACCTGACAAGACAAGCACCCCTACTGAACAATAACCTATAATAATCTGACATAGAACCTGACAAGACAAGCACCCCTACTGAACAATAACCTATAATAATCTGACATAGAACCTGACAAGCAAAGCACCCCTACTGAACAATAACCTATAATAATCTGACATAGAACCTGACAAGCAAAGCACCCCTACTGAATATAGTTCACACCAATGTGCTTCCACTCGACAGCACAGGAGTGGAAGCACTCCCCTCTACAGAGATAGAGAGAATATGTGTGTGTGTGTGTGTGTGTGTGTGTGTGTGTGTGTGTGTGTGTGTGTGTGTGTGTGTGTGTGTGTGTGTGTGTGTGTGAGTGTGTGTGTGTGTGTGTGTGTGTGTGTGTGCGTCTGTCTGCTCTCTGCTGGTTTGGTTTTGCATACATGGAATGGGATGCTGCTACCCACAGTGAGTGGGTGGTAATGGGATGCTGCTACCCACAGTGAGTGGGTGGTAATGGGATGCTGCTACCCACAGTGAGTGGGTGGTAATGGGATGCTGCTACCCACAGTGAGTGGGTGGTAATGGGATGCTGCTACCCACAGTGAGTGGGTGGTAATGGGATGCTGCTATCCACAGTGAGTGGGTGGTAATGGGATGCTGCTACCCACAGTGAGTGGGTGGTAATGGGATGCTGCTACCCACAGTGAGTGGGTGGTAATGGGATGCTGCTACCCACAGTGAGTGGGTGGTAATGGGATGCTGCTACCCACAGTGAGTGGGTGGTAATGGGATGCTGCTACCCACAGTGAGTGGGTGGTAATGGGATGCTGCTACCCACAGTGAGTGGGTGGTAATGGGATGCTGCTACCCACAGTGAGTGGGTGGTAATGGGATGCTGCTACCCACAGTGAGTGGGTGGTAATGGGATGCTGCTACCCACAGTGAGTGGGTGGTAATGGGATGCTGCTATCCACAGTGAGTGGGTGGTAATGGGATGCTGCTATCCACAGTGAGTGGGTGGTAATGGGATGCTGCTATCCACAGTGAGTGGGTGTGTTTGGTTCTTTTTAATGCTTCTCATGCTGGTGCTGTGCCTTGTTGGCCGTGGGGATGTGGAGTTGTTCTCCCTCTATTCTTATGAGTTGTGATTCAACAGGCAACCATGTGCCATATCTTGTTAAAACATTGGCACGCGTCCAACGAAACCACTGTTATTATGCAATGGCTGAACTAGTCTGACCTAGAAATGCTACGATGACTGCCATTTGGCCCCATAATGATGCTCTGGAATGTGTGTGGACTTAATGGAGGAGGTTCAAGCCAACATGGAATTCCAATCAAGAGTCAAACCAAGTCTGCACTGTAAAAAAATAAGGAAAAAAAAAAAAGTTGGTTCCACCGCTTTTTTTTTAGTTTACTCAACTTTTTGGTCAGTGTTACCTGAACTAATATAGTATAGTTGGGCCAAACTTACTGTAGCTCCAACTTGAGAAAACGTAGGCAGAAATTCAGTGAACATAAAATGATGCATTTACTCAATTTGTCTCATATATTCATTCAACTAAAATTATTATTTGTGCATCTTAACTAACAAAAACGCTCTGGAACTAGTTACACACACAGTGGTTTTAATATACAATGTTTTCAACTGACATATTTGACACACTGACATTGTGTATGTTCATTTATACAGTAATTGTTATTCAACATGTTCTCACCTGGGATTTGAACTCACAACCTCTTGGTTCATGACATTCCAATGTTCCTGTTACGCCACCATGTCTGTGTCAATGACTGAGTTCACCTGTATTGCTACACTTTGCACATCAAAGTACATCTCAGCTCTGTTAAAAGTACACTCAAGAACAACTATTTTATTTATCATAGTGATTCAGGAGTAACATTAAAACAGAATAATATGCCCCACCAACAATAGACAAGTACACAGAAAACCCTCAAATTGCTGAAATAAGTAAATACAATGAATGATGAGAGAATAGTCCGATTAACTGATAGTAGACAGACATGGTGGTTTGGCAGGAAGATCGGCGTGACGTGAACCAAGAGGTTGTGAGTTCTAATCCCAGGTGAGGACATGTCGAATAATAATGACTGTATAAATGCACAATGTCAAATATGTCACGACTTCCTCCGTGGCCGCCTCCTCTCCTTGTTCGGGCAGGCTTCGGCGTTCGTCGTCACCGGCCTTCTAGCCACAGCCGCTCCTCATCATTTGTTTAGTCTTGTTTATTACACACACCTGGTTCATATCCCCTCATCAGTACATGTATAAGTGTTCCCTCTGCCCCCTTGTCTTTGTGTGTGTGATTGTTTATTGTGGAGGAGAGAGAAGCTCGGTGGAGCTCCGTGTATTTTGTATCGCCGGGAATATTCCCTGTGTGCCGTGTTTTTACGCATTAATGCGTAACTCTGTGGTTCAGAATAAATCCTGTTATTCTGTGATTTACCCTCCTGCGCCTGACTCCTTCAAAATCACCTCAGCACAAAATATGTCTGTTGAAAACGTTGTATGTTAAAAGCACTGTGCCCAAATAATAATTTCTAGTTGAATGAACATATGAGACAAGTTGAGCAAACACATCATTTTAAGTTGACTTTTTTTCCCCCCCTAGGTTTTCTCATGTTGGAGCTAAGTTTGGGGCCCATAGGACTCTGGTCAAACGTAGTGCACTATGGAACAGGGGGCCATTTGGGATGCAGGATAAGTAACATTTCCATCCGAGCATGTTTGATCCTCATCAAACCATCCTCTACACGTCAACACTCCCTCTAGGGCCCTATACAGTCAATCAACAGCTTCAATTTGTGGTTTGCTGAATGCGGTTTGAGGAAAAGAACCAGGGATGGGGTGGAGGGATTTGGAATCTCGTTTCTTTTTCCATAGCTACATACAGAAGTCTTAGAACAGGAACACTCACGCTTGGTTATGGATCATATGATTATCAACATGCCAAGTCGGCTGACTGGAGACCAGTAGAGACCAGTAGACACAGGGTTCATTGAGTTCGACATTTAAAAAAAACAACCTTTCCGCAGGTGACTCCTTAACCTGCTGTCCTAGAAAACATATATGCTATGAAAACATATACACGTATGCTATACATACAATCAGTCTCCTATAGTTGGTTTGGTTTGAGCTTTGTATGTCTGCCCAGACATGAACTTGACGTACGGTGACGCTGCGGGTTACTAGACTAGTTTGTGTGAATATGTCTCGAATGCTTTACTGCGTCATTTAAATTTTTCTTCAAGTGTCTATTACAGGAAGTGTCTATTACAGGAAGTGTCTATTACAGGAAGCTTTATGGATGAAGTAGGCTACCATAGGGCCTCCCGAGTGGCGCTCTATGACATCGCAGTGTTACCGGCGTCACTACCGGCTGTGTCACAACCGGCTGTGACCGGGAGTCCCATAGGGGCCGCCGCACAACTGGCCCAGCATCATCCGTGTTAGGGGAGGGTTTGTCCGGGGAGGGTTTTACTTGGCTCATCACGCTCTAGCGACTCCTTGTGGAGGGCCGGGCACCTGCAGGCTGACTTGGGTCTGTCAGTTGAACAGTGTTTCCTCCGATGCATTGGTGCGGCTGGCTTCCGGGTTAAGCGGGCGTGGCGTTAAGAAGCGCGGCGTGGCGGGTCATGTTTCCTCCGATGCATTGGTGCGGCAGGCTTCCGGGTTAAGCGGGCGTGGCGTTAAGAAGCGTGGCGGGTCATGTTTTGGAGGACGCATGACTCGACCTTCGCCTCTCCCGAGCCCGTTGTGGAGTTGCAGCGATGAGACAAGATCATAATCACGAAATGTGGGAGAAAAATGGGGTAAAAGAAAATACCATGTAGCCTACTGTATAAGCTATTGGTGAACTATGTAATAACTATGTAGGACATTATATAGGATATTGACCACAACAAAACATGGAAAATAGATGTTATTCTCTTCCAGGTTTATACATGATTTAACAATGAAGTGTACAGAAACTATCACAAACATATACACACACACACACACACAAACACGCCCAGATATGTTTGGACAACACTAGACCCCGGCGAGTTAGGTCACGCGGTGACCTCCCAGCAGAGCGGCGGCGGGACATATTGATTTATATGTGTTGGTGACAGTCTCTGTTTACCAGAATACTGGAGGTCTGAGCTGACGCAGTTTTGGTTTTCTAGTGATGCTTTAAACCCAGCGGAGGGAGGCCCTGGGATGGCCTGCCTAGCGGAGGGAGGCCCTGGGATGGCCTGCCTGTCTACGATGTCATTATGCCAGTCAGTCATAAACGCAGTAGTCATAGTGATGAAGACATGCGCTGCACATGCCGCCTCTCAGGTTGCTCTAAGTACGGCGGTGCGCCTTACAAGTTACAGTACCGAAATAAGGAAGCGGTTTTTTGCTGGGCTCTCCGTAAAACTATGTAATTAATGTAAATAAACCCAACTGGGGAAGTCGATGCCAAGTCCTCCAAAACAGGGCGTAACGTACACCCTCTTCCAAGGAGCCATCACCCATCTCTCACCCTCTTCCAAGGAGCCATCACCCATCTCTCACCCTCTTCCAAGGACCCATCACCCATCTCTCACCCTCTTCCAAGGAGCCATCACCCATCTCTCACCCTCTTCCAAGGACCCATCACCCATCTCTCAGCCTCTTCCAAGGAGCCATCACCCATCTCTCAGCCTCTTCCAAGGACCCATCACCCATCTCTCACCCTCTTCCAAGGACCCATCACCCATCTCTCACCCTTCTATCTACTCGTCTTATCTGTGCACATATCGCTGAATCGAGAGGGAAGAGATGTCTAACACACTTGATAAATGATAAGACATTTCGCTGAATCGAGAGGGAAGAGATGTCTAACACACTTGATAAATGATAAGACATATCGCTGAATCGAGAGGGAAGAGATGTCTAACACACTTGATAAATGATAAGACATATCGCTGAATCGAGAGGGAAGAGATGTCTAACACACTTGATAAATGATAAGACATATCGCTGAATCGAGAGGGAAGAGATGTCTAACACACTTGATAAATGATAAGACATATCGCTGAATCGAGAGGGAAGAGATGTCTAACACACTTGATAAATGATAAGACATATCGCTGAATCGAGAGGGAAGAGATGTCTAACACACTTGATAAATGATAAGACATATCGCTGAATCGAGAGGGAAGAGATGTCTAACACACTTGATAAATGATAAGACATATCGCTGAATCGAGAGGGAAGAGATGTCTAACACACTTGATAAATGATAAGAAAAATGTCAGTAGGCACGACAGCACACACTGTTTAGAACACCACAGCACAAATATATACTCCCTCAGTTTATAAAGCATGACACAAACGACTGTGTAACTGACGAAAGACTGGAACTTGGCAACAGTCCAACATTTACACAGCAAAGGAATGCAGACTAGGTCTACCCATCCACCAAACAGCCTTATTCATTCACTTACAGAAAAGTCATTCAGCTATTTTAATGAAACGGTGTATAATGTAAAGTAAACTCGGATGACCCCCAGATTCCCCTTGACTTTTGTGATGTGATGTATTCAGATCTCCATACTGAGTCGAACGCTGACCTATATAAAATGTTGGGTTGACGTTGGACCTTTAAACTGAGCAGCTGTTGGAACAAGGAGGGCGACGTCAGAAATAGCCACAGCCTTCTCCAGCCATAGTGAGTAGGCCTACTCTAAACATCATGAATGTTATTCAATGTAGTTTCAAAAACTTGCACCACACTCCTGTTGTACATACTACTGATGCAGTTTAAATCTCCTGCATACAGTCTTTAAATCGATCCGTAGTCTTTTTTATTTTATTTACAAACAACCTTTACTAGCGAAGGGAGGTGCCAAACCAAGTGGCACCCTATTCCCTATATAGTGCACTACTTTTCACCAGGGTCAATTGGTCAAAAGTTCTGCACTATAAAGCTAGTAATTAAAATAGGGTGCCATTTGGAACGCACCCCAAACGGTCAATGGCTGCTCTGCCTGTGCTCAGCTGAGCTCATTACTCACAGAGCATCATTCGGAATTAGATTGTTTTTGTCTGAACAGCAATGAGCTCAGCAGCTGTGATGAGCTAGCTGGAGGACTGGAGGCGTTGGGATATATATCTCTCCCTGCCTGCCTGCCTGCCTTGTGTACATCATCACATCAACATGGACAAAACCCCTCCTGGATTTTCTCTAACAACACAGACATTGTGCTCAGGCAGACAGGCTCCTCACAGTCTCCTAGCATGGTTTGGTCCAGACAGGCACCTCACAGTCTCCTAGCATGGTTTGGTCCAGGCAGGCACCTCGCAGTCTCCTAGCATGGCTTGGTCCAGACAGGCACCTCGCAGGCTCTGCAGTCTCCTAGCATGGTTCGGTCCAGGCAGGCACCTCGCAGGCTCTGCAGTCTCCTAGCATGGCTCGGTCCAGGCAGGATGTGCATTAATCAGTTCCTTGGGCCGGGAGATTTTCTCCAAGTGGTACTGTACTAGCTCCACATTCTCTCCTGGTGGCTGGGAAGGATTGGGGGGATTTGGGTGGGTAGAGCTCTTTCAGACACAGCAAGCCACTGGCTTAACCAGAAGAGCTCCAGTGTTCACCTTGTTTGTAGAAACGTAGATCTCTCAGTCTAAAGGGACTGGGAGCAACAAACCAGATCCTCTGGCCGGGTGGATGTGTGTGCTGATTGGCTGCCCAGCAGCAGTCCAGCACCAGCCAGCCCCATCCCGCCACAGCTCCACCACCCTACCGTCTCCACTCCCAGTCAACTCACAGTGGCTGCATCCCAAATGGCAACCTAGTACCTATATAATGCACTGCTTTTGACAAGCAGCCCTAGGGAACAGGGTGCCATTTGGGATACACCAGCGACAGGTCTAGTGCAGCTAAATCAGACCACCCTACTGGACCCAAATGGTAACTGTTACAGAGTGAAACCAGCACCCTGTGAAAATGTGACTTGGTGGATTAGGGCTGCGTAATAAGATTAAGGTGCTAGGAGCTGCCTGAGCCTGTAATGAACAAGCTGGGGGGGGTTTCTCTTTCATTGGTAATCCATCAACATTCAGGGACACAGAAGAGACAGAGAGAGAGAGAGAGAGATAGAGACAGAGAGAGACAGAGAGAGAGAGAGAGAGAGAGGAGAGAGAGAGAGCGAGAGAGAGAGAGAGAGAGAGAGAGAGAGAGAGAGAGAGGAGAGAGAGAGAGAGAGAGAGAGAGAGAGAGAGAAGCTGGGGGGGGGGAGAGAAAGAGAGAGGGGGAGTTGAGGCGAGGGAGAAATAATGTATCAACGTCCACAACGTGAGAGAAGGGAACTAGTACAGTAACAACCAGGCCAAGGACCTGAGGGGGAATCTACACACATTGGGGAGGTGAGAATAAGTCTGGCCAGCGAGCCAGAGACAACGCTGTTACTACTCTATCAAGTCATTCCCATGAGAGAGAACAGATTTTCACCTTCCACAAACAGTCATCTTGTCCTGCAGGCAACAGTCAACTGGCTTGGTCAATTACATTCCAATAGCTTTTCGGAATTTCAGTTTACGTAACTGAATTTAAATGGAATTGGCCCCCCAACTCTGGTCTGTATGGTGAATAGTACAGTAAGCTGTCCACAGGAAAGTTTGAGCACACACACACACAGCAAAACAGAGCAGTTGCACATAGGGGTCAAACAGCTAAGAAAGATTTAAAGGTCCCAAACAGTCATTCTGATTTCCATGTAAAATTGCCCTTTGAGTGACTAAAACATCACCAACAATATTTTTCCCAAATAAAAATGCACAGAATTTGAAGTCAGGAAGTCTGAAAGGACAGACTGAGTGGGCGGGGAGCTGGTAGGCTGAGTGGGCGGGGAGCCGGTAGGCTGAGTGGGCGGGGAGCTTGTAGGCTGAGTGGGCGGGGAGCTGGTAGGCTGAGTGGGCGGGGAGCTGGTAGGCTGAGTGGGCGGGGAGCTGGTAGGCTGAGTGGGCGGGGAGCTGGTAGGCTGAGTGGGCGGGGAGCTAGTAGACTGAGTGTGCGGGGAGCTGGTAGGCTGAGTGGGCGGGGAGCCGGTAGGCTGAGTGGGCGGGGAGCCGGTAGGCTGAGTGGGCGGGGAGCTGGTAGGCTGAGTGGGCGGGGAGTTCACCTTGAATGACGGTTCTTTGAAAACGCCTATGTCAAGCAACAAGCAACATGAGCAGTGTTGCAGTGAGATTATCTCAAGCAAATTTGCTGATAAACAAAGCAACTCAAACAACATCACAAATGATGTATTTATCCTGTTTGGTTATTGTAACAGCATCAATATAGACAACATTTTGTATTTATAATTTAGCTTGCTAGCCCAAGTGTAATTGTCAGCACTGTTTATCAAGCTAGCATCTTGGACAATTTCAGTTGAAACTTTACAGGGTGAAGGCTGGTTACATTACATACATGTATATACACTGATTGAACAAAACATTAAGAACTCCTGCTCTTTCCATGGCGTAGACTGACCAGGTGAAAGCTATGATCCCTTATTGATGTCACGTGTTAAATCCACTTAAATCAGTGTAGATGAAGGGGAGGAGACCGTTAAAATAAGGATTTTTAAGTGAATGGGCAAGACAAAAGATTTAAGTGCCTTTGAACGGGCTATGGTAGTAGGTGCCAGGCGCACCAGTTTGAGTGTGTCAAGAACTGCAACGCTACTGGGTTTTTCACGCTCAACAGTTTCCCGCGTTTATCAAGAATGGTCCACCACCCAAAAGGACATCCAAGCCAACTTGACACAACTGTGGGAAGCATTGGAGTCAACATGGGCCAGCATCCCTGTGGAATGCTTTCGACACCCCGACGAACCAAGGCTTTTCTGAGGGCAAAAGGTGTTCCTAATATTTGGTATACTCAGTGTATATTGACTGTCAGGCGATGTTCATATATCATGACTAGGGTTGTTACGGTGACCGTATTACTGCCATTCCGGCGGTCACGAGTGATGACAGCAGTCAAATTCCGCATGACCGTTTAGTCACGGTAATTAGGCTTCTCCAAGCTCTGATGCTGCTGATGGTCATTAGTAGCCTACCACACATGCCTGGTACTCAGCACTCTATTGTCCCTCTAATCACTCTGACTTCAATGAAAATGCAATAGAAAATCTAATCAAACACATTTACGTTTTCAGTCATTTAGCAGACGCTCTTATCCAGAGCGACTTACATGAGCAATTAGGGTTAAGTGCCTTGCTCAAGGGCACAGACAGATTTTTCACCTAGTCGGCTCGGGGATTAGAACCAGCGACCTTTCGGTTACTGGCACAACGCTCTTAACCACTAAGCCACCTGCCGCCCCGGCAACATGAGCTCATGTTGCGCAACATTTCTATAGGCTATGCAATTGCGTGAGAAAACAAGAGTGATGGCCTCTACTAAAAAGAGGAGGATCCCATCAGCTTTCTATTGGTTAGGCCTACTATATTTATTTCTCAACTTTCCTAATATTAAGTACATTGCTTCTCTTTACAACAGGAGTATAACCTACCTGGCTGGCATGAAAATGAACCATGTGAAAAGCATCCTCCATTCGCTATTTAAGTGCATAGATGACATGTATTTGGTGCATGATAATGGTCCATTCTAAATCAAAACAAATTTCACACATATATTATTTAGTATATGTAAAGAAAATATTAAATCAAGAATAGTGTGATGGGGTGACAATATTAGCCTATCACTTGTGAATAATATATTATCACTTGTGAATGATGCCCAGCTTTAGGCAAATAGCGCATGATTTATTTGGCAACTTTTTAAAATCATAGTGGCACACTTCATGTAGCTTAGCCCATAGGCTTATATGTTTTGATAAGGTTTGTATCACAACTAAAGTGGCCAAATAACTTCTTAAAATGAAGCACATTAATCCGCTTTACAACGGGGTGTAGAGCCTAACTGGCATACTTATGCAGCGCCTGAGTTTCAAGTTTGGGGAAGAAAATGTTCACCATAAAAATGCACCTTTATTATACAAGCAATACATGCATAATCACATTTGTGGTCACTTTTGAGAATGGTGTTTTCCTGCTAATGGAACATTTGCACTTACAGCCTACTGCCGTGTGCGCATTGCTGCGCTTATAATGGGAAGAAATAGCCTAATAGTTTATCAACATTTTAAGCTAAATGTTCTCATCTGTTGCTTCAGGCTCATTGCTTAAAACAGGTGTTTTGATGCTAGTGGTTTTATTAATTTGATCTATTGCATCCCACAACTGTCCCAGACTATGTTTGGAATATGTATTTCTCGCACATAATAGAATAGGTCAACGTTTGTACTATGGGGGATAGTAGATTGACATAGGCTAGTGCTTTTGCTGTTCGTTAGGCCGACTCATCTTGTTGGCTGACGAAAAGTAAATGTGGACAGTTCCAATATCTTCAATATGCGCCTCGGAATTGGATGAGGACATGCGCAGTCGGGTCCCCGATGTGTCTGTCTTCACTTGTAGCCTGTGAGAAAGACCCGATCACGTGACCGAGAGCCATGTGAGTGAGGGAGAAGGGAATTATAATGATTATATTCAGCCCGAGGGCACAACGGCCACTGGCTGCAAAAGGCATGGATTTTCTTAGGGGACATTTCGCCACATAAAGGGGATGCAGCTGGGAAATCAGAGTCATTATCAAGTGCCGTCAAATTGTGAATGAGAGACTGATGAAGTGTGTGCACCCTGCGCAAAAAAAAAACTAAGCAGAGCTCATGCCTTTCATGTGACTTTTTTCAAATCATAACTAGAGTCGCATCATGCAGCCTTAGAAGGTATTAAAAATCAAAACATGTAGCCCAACGTTTGTATCACAACTAAAGTTACATAAATAACTCTAAATTAAGCATATAGACCACTGCGTCCTGAGTGGCGCAGTGGTCTAAGGCACTGCATCGCAGTGCTAACTGTGCCACTAGAGATCCTGGTTCGGCGCACAATTGGCCCAGCGTCGTCCAGGGTAGGGGAAGGAATGGCCGGCAGGGATGTAGCTCAGTTGATAGAGCATGACGTTTGCAACGCCAGGGTTGTGGGTTCGATTCCCACGGGGGGCCAGTATAAAAATAAATAAATACATGTATTCACTAACTGTAAGTCGCTCTGGATAAGAGCGTCTGCTAAATGACTAAAATAAAATGTATATAGGAGGACCTGTTTCTTAGTTAACCGCTCAACACAGAATAGCTGCATGTGGCCACTCCCTCTGAAATCGTTTGGAGAAAATATCCTTTCTATTTTATTCAGCTTTGTTCAATTGTTTTCTTCATACTATAAAATAATATAAAATAATGCCACGGAATTCTAAACAAATCTAGTCTGCTAGATGAACTAGTGTAGCCCACAGCCATATGGTGTAGCCAGATCAGGACCTAACATAAGGATAACTAGTGTAGCCCACAGCCAGATGGTGTAGCCAGATCAGGACCTAACATAAGGATAACTAGTGTCGCCCACAGCCATATGGTGTAGCCAGATCAGGACCTAACATAAGGATAACTAGTGTAGCCCACAGCCATATGGTGTAGCCAGATCAGGACCTAACATAAGGATATGCTATTCTGTTCTTCTGAAATAGACTACATTTTCTTCATATCATGTTTCTTTAGACCTGTGTAAAATAAATGGATGTATTGTGAAGGCGTAGGCTATATTACATGGATTTATTATACTTTTTTAAATGTAGAGGTTCCAAAAGGTCCGCATCAGTGGCTTGTAGGCTATGCGTGGAAGCCAGGAGATGCTAAATGTGTATGTTAATTAACGGTCAATTACTGTGAGACCGGCAGTTATTTGCTTGACAATAACCGGCTGACAAAAATTCATGACTGCCACAGCCCTAATCATGACCATCAAATATGTTAAGAAGTTTGTATGAATCTCCTGTTTGGCACATCTATTGATGCAATGACACGGCAACTGTGTTGGAGTTTTGGGCAACCCTTCCCCTGCTTTTGTTCCATGCTGGCTGAAGACATAGCTAGCCAGTAACTAGCGAACACCAGACACAGATGAAAGCTGAAACCTATAAGTATATTTGCATTAGATGAATAGGGGAAACCTGTGATTATATTTGCTGACACACTGAACTCAAATTTTGGCACCAGTAGAGTAGCTACCCAGCTATGTAAACCACGCCCCTCTGCAAACACGCCTTCTGCCATGTTGGTTACAAGGCGGTACTTATTTAAATTAGGTAAGAGAATAAGACATTACCATTGGTGTATTCAAATTTGAGCCTTTTTGTGATGTCACAAAAAGCCCTTAATAATCCCACCTCCTGAATCCAAGTGTAACTTTATGATCAAACGTTATCAATGTAGAAGCAACAGTAATTGTTCATACTTTGGTCAACTTACTTTGATCTGGTTTAATCCAATTTTGGTGGTGAGTATGTGACATGTAGCATTCATATAGCGCAATTCCATGTCATGGTATCTCCGATTGTAATGGCAATTCTCACATAGAAACTTAATTGGGAGGAAGGATGTTTAACATGCTTTTTACATTTGTATCACAAACAATTGTTTCACTAATTTGTCTTTTTAAATTTATTAATCATGATAAAAGTGGCAATTTTAGACCGTTTTTAGACCTACAGTGGGGAAAAAAAGTATTTAGTCAGCCACCAATTGTGCAAGTTCTCCCACTTAAAAAGATGAGAGAGGCCTGTAATTTTCATCATAGGTAAACGTCAACTATGACAGACAAAATGAGAAAAAAAAATCCAGAAAATCACATTGTAGGATTTTTAATGAATTTATTTGCTAATTATGGTGGAAAATAAGTATTTGGTCAATAACAAAAGTTTCTCAATACTTTGTTATATAACCTTTTTTGGCAATGACACAGGTCAAACGTTTTCTGTAAGTCTTCACAAGGTTTTCACACACTGTTGCTGGTATTTTGTCCCATTCCTCCATGCAGATCTCCTCTAGAGCAGTGATGTTTTGGGGCTGTCGCTGGGCATCACAGACTTTCAACTCCCTCCAAAGATTTTCTATGGGGTTGAGATCTGGAGACTGGCTAGGCCACTCCAGGACCTTGAAATGCTTCTTACGAAGCCACTCCTTCGTTGTGTTTGGGATCATTGTCATGCTGAAAGACCCAGCCACGTTTCATCTTCAATGCCCTTGCTGATGGAAGGAGGTTTTCACTCAAAATCTCACGTTACATGGCCCCATTAATTCTTTCCTTTACACGGATCAGTCGTCCTGGTCCCTTTGCAGAAAAACAGCCACAAAACATGATGTTTCCACCCCCATGCTTCACAGTAGGTATGGTGTTCTTTGGATGCAACTCAGCATTCTTTGTCCTCCAAACACGACGAGTTGAGTTTTTACCAAAAAGTTATATTTTGGTTTCATCTGACCATATGACATTCTCCCAATCCTCTTCTGGATTATCCAAATGCACTCTAGCAAACTTCAGACGGGCCTGGACATGTACTGGTTTAAGCAGGGAGACACGTCTGGCACTGCAGGATTTGAGCCCCTGGCGGCGTAGTGTGTTACTGATGGTAGGCTTTGTTACTTTGGTCCCAGCTCTCTGCAGGTCATTCACTAGGTCCCCCCGTGTGGTTCTGGGATTTTTGCTCACCGTTCTTGTGATCATTTTGACCCCATGGGGTGAGATCTTGCGTGGAGCCCCAGATCGAGGGAGATTATCAGTGGTCTTGTATGTCTTCCATTTCCTAATAATTGCTCCCACACTTGATTTCTTCAAACCAAGCTGCTTACCTATTGCAGATTCAGTCTTCCCAGCCTGGTGCAGGTCTACAATTTTGTTTCTGGTGTCCTTTGACAGCTCTTTGGTCTTGGCCATAGTGGAGTTTGGAGTGTGACTGTTTGAGGTTGTGGACAGGTGTCTTTTATACTGATAACAAGTTCAAACAGGTGCCATTAATACAGGTAACGAGTGGAGGACAGAGGAGCCTCTTAAAGAAGAAGTTACAGGTCTGTGAGAGCCAGAAATCTTGCTTGTTTGTAGGTGACCAAATACTTATTTTCCACCATAAATTGCAAATAAATTCATTAAAAATCCTACAATGTGATTTTCGGGATTTTTTTTCTCAATTTGTCTGTCATAGTTGACGTGTACCTATGATGAAAATTACAGGCCTCTCTCATCTTTTTATGTGGGAGAACTTGCACAATTGGTGGCTGACTAAATACTTTTTTCCCCACTGTATACCTCCTGTAAGTCCCTATGATCTGTGAACTGTACTTGACACAGACAACATCTTTATAGTGTGCTCTAAAATATGGAGTATGTCTTGATTCCGAAATACTATTTTCACATTCATTTATGCAACATTAGAAATATTAATATCTCAAAAGTATTGTTTGGAACAATATACTCTACAAGAACATCCCATGTCCAGAGCGGGCTCTCTGCTGACTCTGAACATAGGATACACTGTATGGGCACCACCCAACACAGTGAATGGGAAAATGGATTCAAAGGGAACTCCCTCTGCTGGTGATTTGATGAATGCGCAATCGTAAAGGAGGGCTGTGATTGGTTAATGACCTATAATGTCAATTTCTATGTATAAAATGGGTGATTAAAAGTAGCAGAGAGCCCACTCTGGAAATGTGATGGGTTTGAAGAGTATACTGTTACAAACAACATAAGCAAAATCAAAAAGGGTACTTTTGAGATATTAATATAAATATTTTTAATGTTGAATAAATTAATGTGAATTTTTGTATTATTTCAGAATCTAGACATACTCATACTTGAGAGAACCCTGTAAGGAGTATAACGACACTAAGATGTTGTCTGTATCATGTACGATTCGCAGACCTAAGGCTGCGTTTACACAGACAGCCCAATTCTGATATTTTCTTCACTATTTGGTATTTTGTCCAATCAGATTAGCTCTAAAAAAGATCTGTTATCAGAATTGGCTCTAAAAAAGAGAAGATATCAGAATTGGGCTGCCTGTGTAAACGCAGCCATGGGGTCTAAAAAGGGCCTAAAATGTCCACTTTCATTATGATTCTCTAACAAATGGTTGGTGATACAAATGAAAAAGCGCTCAAACCTCCTTCCTCCCAATGCAGTTACTATTGTGAGCATTGCCAGAACAATCTGACATACCAAAAAACATTTTTCGGCCTACGCCGGCGTGGAATCGCCCATAGCATTCATAAAGTATTCACATGCGTGACATGAAGAGTCATAATGGACTTACTATGTTGATGAGTGTGAGGACATAGTTCTGCACGTGCTCCTTGCCATGGAAGCGCACCACAGAGTCGTCCACGGCCAGCAGCACCTCGATGTTGTAGTCGTCCTTCTTGGCGTGCCGCCGTTTGCGCTCCGACTCCGTCAGCTTGTGCTCCAAGAGGTCCAGAGCTCTGGGGAGGTTCGCAATCCCAAAGTCTGCCACTGTGTGGAAGAGAAGAGACATGAGGAATTGCAACGAGTTACATACCAACAATTAGCTAGCATACAGCAGCATGTTTCCATGGGGATGAGGTGTCAAGGCGTCAGTGTGATGCGGTAGGGCGAAGTCAGGCGCAGGACACAGAGCTGATCAGAAGGCGTACTTTACTCGAAGGTAAAAGAATGAACAACAACCTCCACGCAGGGAGGGAATAAACCCACACACTAACGACAACCAAAACATGAACAAACACGCACAACACACAGTGTGAGACAGAGGGTTAAATAGGGATGACATAACTACATAATGGGAAACAGGTGTGACCAATAAAGACAGAACAAGTTGAACATAGACACATGGATCGGTAGCAGCTAGTACTCCGGAGACGACGAACGCCGAAGCCTGCCCGAGCGAGGAGGAGGGGCAGCCTCGGCTGAATCCGTGACATGAGGAGGTAGTATGTCTTCCTCTGATGGCATCAGCCCAATTCCCTGTTTAGTGCACTCCTTGTAGGGGCTTAATAACATTAAAAAGGGGAAAGGGTGCCATTTGGGATATAGCCTACGTGTTTGCTGCACAAGCGTTGGTCGATAGTAGTGCACTAAATAGGAAATGGGGAGAAATTTGGGACGCAACCAAGCTTTGGAATGGTCTCGTGTAGTCTCAATGATGCAGCCAGTCCAGACATGAACAGGAGACACTGTAAGAGGTTGAATTGAGACCTGTACATTACAAAAGACCCCCTTGATCCCCATCACCTGAACACTATCTCCAGTCATTCATCAACAACAGCATGACACGTCAATATCCTCTTCCTGCTCAACCCCCTAGAGCTATGTACACTATATAATCACAGAAACCTCTGTATGGCCCATATCTGGAATATTTACAGTATCTCACAAAAGTGAGTACACCCCTCACATTTTTGTAAATATTTGAGTATATATCTTTTCATGTGACAACACTGAAGAAATGACACTTTGCTACAATGTAAAGCAGTGAGTGTACAGCTTGTATAACACCGGGGAGGGAAAATGGCTAATTGGGCCCAATTTGGACATTTTCACTTAGGGGTATACTCACTTTTGTTGCCAGCGGTTTAGACATTAATGGCTGTGTGTTGTGTTATTTTGAGGGGACAGCAAATTTACACTGTTATACAAGCTGTACTCTCACTACTTTACATTGTAGCAAAGTGTCATTTATTCAGTGTTGTCACATGAAAAGATATCTCTTTCTCTCTGAGAACCTGAGCCCTAGGACCATACGTCAGGACTACCGGGCATGATGACACCTTGCTGTCCCCAGTCCGCCTGGCCTTGCTGCTATTCCAGTTTCAACTGTTCTGCCTGCGGTTATGGAACCCCTACCTGTCCCAGACCTGCTGTTTTCAACTCTTAATGATCGGCTATGAAAAGCCAACTGAGATTTATTCCTGATTATTATTTGACCATGCTTGTCACTTATGAACATTTTTGAACATCTTGGCATGGTTCTGTTATAATCTCCACCCGGCACAGCCAGAAGAGGACTGGCCACCCCTCATAGCCTGGTTCCTCTCTAGGTTTCTTCCTAGGTTTTGCCTTTCTAGGGAGTTTTTCCTAGCCACCGTGCTTCTACACCTGCATTACTAGCTGTTTGGGGTTTTAGGCTGGGTTTCTGTACAGCACTTCGAGATATTAGCTGATGTAAGAAGGGCTATATAAAATAAAATTGATTGAAAATTGATTGATATACTCAAAAAAATATTTACCAAAATGTGAGGGGTGTACTCCCTTTAGTGAGATAGTGCATGTCCTGTACGTCAGAGGGATCGTCGTCTGTATTATACCACCTAAAGAAACAGGTGTACGTGCATTCTCAGTAGGTGTCATAATAAACATGAATGCTTTTCACGCTGCGCCTTGGTCTGACCCGTCCTTCAACGTCCGTGACAGTAGTCCTCTGTAGCTCAGCTGGTAGAGCACGGCGCTTGTAACGCCAAGGTAGTGGGTTCGATCCCCGGGACCACCCATACACAAAAATGTATGCACACATGACTGTAAGTCGCTTTGGATGAAAGCGTCTGCTAAATGGCATATTATATTATATTAGGGTACGATTTGGCCTAGCATTTTTAGCTATTTTATTTTTTTAAAGCTTTATGTGTCCCTGGAAAATGACTAAGCTAAATGCAACAGTTACTTGTGAGTCAACAATTTAAGGAATGGAAACCGTCCGAAAATAACAGTTAAGTGCAATAGCAAATGTAACAATGTTTTTAATTTCCTCGTTGAACATTGTTGTTGTTGTCGACAGCAACAGGAATGTGTCTGGATACTAAATAAATGACCATGTAAAAACAGCCTGGCGTTATAAAACATGGAATTTGGCTATGGGCAGCTGGGAATGATCCCATTCCACAATGATTGCAAGGAATCTCTGCCACCTCACTATGCCGTCAGAGACCCATACACTAGGACCAGATGGGCATCAAGCCCCCAGACATGGGTTCAATACCATTCCAAATCAAGGACTTCGAGCACTTGCTCTAGCCTGCTTCCTTATGCAGACAGTTCCGGGAAGGTGATGAAGGTGAATCATGTAAATGTACTTAGGTGAGAAACAGCACAGCATAGAGAAGAGAAAATACTACTGTGTCGTTAAGAATGGATTCTTGGAATCTGTCAGGCAAATAATAAGCTGCCACAGAAGGAAGGTTCGTCTCAGTGGCTAGAAATATAAACCCTACATGTGTCCAAGGTACAATCATCCACTACTCTACTCTATAGAAATATAAAGGCTCTCTATGTGTCCAAGGTATAATCATCCACTACTCTACTCTATAGAAATATAAAGGCTCTCTATGTGTCCAAGGTACAGTCATCTACTACTCTACTCTATAGAAATATAAAGGCTCTCTATGTGTCCAAGGTACAATCATCCACTACTCTACTCTATAGAAATATAAAGGCTCTCTATGTGTCCAAGGTACAATCATCCACTACTCTACTCTATAGAAATATAAAGGCTCTCTATGTGTCCAAGGTACAATCATCCACATGTGAGGTTGGAGATAGGAGGTGTCCATTTGAAATGATTGAGATAATATTAGGGCAAATTGAGAGAAGGTAAGTAGCCCACATTTTGCATGCTGTCAGTGACAATGTGACAAACGTGGAAGTGGCAAAACTTGACAAATAGGATATATGAATGTAAATCACCTGGCGAGCTGCCAGCATTCCAATACTTACAGAACCACATCTGGAATAACTAACTGCTGGAAATATGACATCAGGACTCAGATTCTGAAGGCCCTCAATATGTCATAAAAAAACGGAATCACAGAACCCAGATAATGATGACATAGAACCCAGATAATGATGCCATAGAACCCAGATAATGATGACATAGAACCCAGATAATACATCTGCATTGCTTCCTGTTTGGGGTTTTAGGCTGGGTTTCTGTATAGCACTTTGTGACATCTGCTGATGTAAAAGGGCTTTATAAATACAATTTGATTGATTGAGATAATGATGACACAGAACCCAGATAATGATGACATAGAACCCAGATAATGATGACATAGAACCCAGATAATTATGACATAGAACCCAGATAATGATGACACAGAACCCAGATAATGATGACATAGAACTCAGATAATGATGACATAGAACCCAGATAATGATGACATAGAACCCAGATAATGACACAGAACCAGACGCCAGTTAATGATGTTACAGAACACAGCCATACTGCAAGACATTGGGCGCGTTCGAGCTGATTTTTATAACCATAATGGAACACCCTTTGAAAGGCGGTGACGGTCACGGTGACGGTAACCGCCTTTCAAAGGGTGTTCCATTATGGTTATAAAAATTGTCCGACTTGCGACTACCTTTCGACTGAATGAACTTTGCAAAGATCATGTGATCAAAGGTCATGCAGTTTTTGATGAAGTCGCCTTCAAGTCGCTGCAGTTGCTTCTCACCAACTGCACCATGCAGCCATCCCCTGCATTATGGGGGCACTATTTGTCAGCCAGTCATTTGCGTGTTTTTGATTGACCCACGCAAACGTGGCCAAAGAAGTGACTGAAACAGGAACCAACTTTGCTGCGATTACATTTTACAGTTGACATTTTTAGTCATTTAGCAGATGCTCTTATCCAGAGCGACTTACAGGAGCAATTAGGGTTAAGTGCCTTGCTCAAGGGCACATCGACAGATTTTTCTAATGCTACGTTTGTAACCAAGCAGGAAGTGGGCATTTACCACATACGGCTGGGAAAAATCCACTTGAACGGCCCTGCAACTGGTAATTACTAGTGGGAAACGCTCATCCTGAACTCCCACTTCTCCCACAAATCTAATCTAATGTTATTGGTCACATACACGTGTTTAGCAGATGTTACTGCGGGTGTAGCGAAATGCTTGTGATTCTAGCTCTGACAGTGCAGTAATATCTAACAAGTAATATCTAACAATTTCACAACATATATACCCAATACACACAAATCTAAGTAAGGAATTAATTAAGGAATATATACATATATGGAGGAGCGATGTCAGAGCGGCATGGACTAAGATACAGTAGAATAGTATAGAATACAGTATATACACATGAGATGAGTAATGCAAGATATGTAAACATTATTAAAGTGGCTAGTGTTCCATTTCTTAAAGTGGCCAGTGATTTCAATAGGCAGCAGCAGCCTCTAATGTGCTAGTGATGGCTGTTCAACAGTCTGATGGCCTTGAGATAGAAGCTGTTTTTCAGTCTCTCGGTCCCAGCTTTGATGCACCTGTACTGACCTCACCTTCATATGGTGACCTCTGACGTCACCTACTAAGGAAATAGCATTTTCCGCAGTTAAAAGCAACAACAAAACATTATTTATAAAAAGCAATCTATTCATATGGTTTTTGAACACTATAATTTGTTAACAGGCATGATAGCTGTACTTTTAGTTTATGGTTTACGCAGCTTGTTGGCCATTAGCCAGTCCGCGTTTC